GGGTCCGGCAGCCGTCACATCTGAGCTGGATTTTAATGCCTGACAATCTGCGACGGATCGCCTTGGCTCAAGAGGTGGTCCACTTGAGGGTGGACAATCGTCTTTCGGGTTAGCCCCTTCCACATTGAGTCGGATATCTGGATCGCTTGTGTTCATGGCTAGAACACGAAGCATCATATCGTCCGATTTCACTCCGAGCGTGAACTCCTCCAACGACAATCGATCGTCACGATCTGTGTCCATCTGGTTGAACAGTTTCTCTGATCGACGTTCCGGAGTGGCTTCATCCTCAGGTAATTTGATCGCTGTGCCGATCATGCTGTATATAGACTGAAAACAAGTATGACAATGATAAAAGTGTGTGAATGACTTCAAAGCATTGAGATATTAATGATACAGTACCAATACCAAGTCGGATTGATCGGAAAGTATCCAAGCCTGAACGAGTAAAAAGAAACCGAACAAAAACCACGGAACATGCGATCAATCGAATAGTGATTGGCAAATGAAGGCGAAAAAGCATAACAGCAAGAAAGCTTAGGCTCACAACGACATACGCATTCATGTACGTGGATTAAGGTGGACAAAAACGCAGTAAGGAGATCTCAGCGGTATGTAGTTTCGCTGTTATTTCTATTTGAGCTTTAGGTACTAAAGTTAGACCGGGTTCTGAACTATCGATCCACGCAGTTGCCCAAGCCAGAGCAAGTGAGTGACTCAGAGCGTCTGTGGCAAAGCCCTTTAGTTTACATAAGTGGCTGTAAGATCGGGGTTGGCGAGTTGGTAGGCGGATACTCCAACACTGACGCATAAATGGTGCACGGAAAAACAGAAACTGTTCGCTTACCCTCCCGTGGTCATGTGCCCGAGGTGTCTCTACTTAACATTTTATTCGAATAATAACACTCACGGGGTTATCACCCATTTTGCGGTCAATGTTGGAACATCCACCTCCCAACCCATCAACTCCCATTTTACACATGTTGAAACCGTGATTCGACTGTCTCCCTGTCTTATGTCTCTGAGGTTTGTAATTGGTTAGCAGATAAAACACTGAAATCAAGCTTGTTTGCCAAGTCTTTGTTTTTCCAATGATTTTTTTTGGAATTATTTATTCACGAGTGGTTGTACTGGTTCGATAGAGATCGGCGTTTCGCCAAATAGACCATACACTATTTGGATGAAATTTACACGTTCAGAGACCACAAAACACCACTGAGTAGTGAAACTGGTGTTCTGAGCTTGTTTATACACCTGCCCTGTGGTTGTTCGGACCGTTTTAGAGGAGACACAACATTCCTTATCGTCTAAGAGTTTTGGGTACTCGTTTAAAAACTTGTGACGATTGGTTAAGATCCACTGACACTATTATGATTACCTAATGACCGTTTACGGACCAACTATGTGAAATCAGTCTTTTTTTATTATACACCTGTGTGATTGATGAACAGCAGACGGGGTAGACCCCATAGTCTCAATAACCTGCTGTTCAATGATAGAAACCTACAACCTAAACCCTGGGAGTTGGAGTAGTGAACCACACAAGGCCCCGCGGTAGGTTAGGCGTGGTATTGAACCGGACGACAGTAAGACTATCTACCACCAAAGTAGGGTGACGGTGACTGGGCTCGAACTTCGGACCACCGAGTTCAAATCACGGGGATGGCAGCTATTAACCTAGTAAACCAATGGTAGAAATAAGGTAAGACTCCATAACAGAGAATTGAAAAATTGAAACAGACGTTTCTTTCACAAGAAAGTGTTTTGCCTGGAGTGTGACAAAAATAATAAAATCTAGAACAATTACAATTAAATTAAAAAAAGGGATTTGACAAAATGTTAAATTCCATTTGGAGGTTGGGAAACCGTTGGAATACTGGCGAATTCTAGGAAACCAAGAATTTCAGGCGAGTATCATTCTAACCCCATTGGCTCACATCATCCCCTAACTTCATTCCATTGTCGCCAGTCACAAATGCGCCCGAACGCACAGTCAGTAGTCAATTAATTAACAGTATTTTCTACACTCCCAAAGTGAGTGAAAACCTTGGGAACGGTAACATTGATTTTTGTGCAGGTGGTGTGTATGTTACACTAAATTGAATTTGCCGACGAGTCACGGAGTCGATATCCACGTACACAAGTGTGCTCACAACAAGGCCATACTCTCTCGATTTCATTTTAAAGCGTAAATGAGTGAGGAAACGAGTGTCGCAAACACCAAGCGTAGAAAAAACGCAGATAAATGTGTGCGCGGCTGGATAAACAAATCATACATGGAAGGATTTGATAAAAACAGAGGGGGGGGACACGATAATTGGTATTTTGTGGTGTTGCTTCGAATTCCCCTCAAAAGACACGCACAAAGTGCTGGACTCGGTGCGCACACGTCCGTATTGTCACGGGGCAAACGGGAAACGAACTTCGTTGATCTTTTTCAACCATAAACATGAAATAATCAGTCAGGTTGTGAATGTTTCCAACCGAGTCATAACCCTGGAGGCTAGTGCTGAGTTGAGCAGGGTCCGTGGCCCGCAACAAACTTGCAAAGATGGGTTGTGCTACATCGTGTAAATGGAAAATGTAAAAAACGGTCTGATCAGCCGCCCGGTGGCGTAGTGGGTAGCACGCTTGCGTTCTGCCAATGAAGTCCCGGGTTCGATCCCCAATCGGGTCGATGGATTCGCACTGCTGATGAGACCCAACCAGGTCGAAACAGTTGTCCAGTGCTTCCGAGCTTTTCAGTTCACGCTTCATTTGCTATATACACGACGAATTCCCATCTGAAACCTTGGTGTGTTGAACAGTTGAATTGGTGAGGATCTCATAGTTGGTTTTGATAACCCGTAAGTCATAAATTACATAAGACCTCTAAATGATAGAGGCATCATATTGAGCCGGACAACAGTGAAGCAGCTTATCACAAAAGTGAGGTGATGGTATTGGTAGCCTCAGTGTCATCTGCAGCAGGGTTTAAAGTTCGAACCACTGAGAAAAACAGAGTGCGCAGTTTCACTTCGTATGCTCAGAAATGACAACACAAAATCCCCGTACCATTGGTTACTGGTATGGCCTGTATAATCGACGTTCAGCACCCGACCGAACTTTTCGGACTCAGTTAAGGAAGAGCAGCTCTTGTACCCAGTTAGCACATCGCCTATTAATTTTCACTAGGCTTTCTCTTCCAATGGTATAGTGACGAAATCCATTTGGGTAGATGTAAAGGTCGTCAAGAGGTAAAGTTTCCAGCTTATCACCCGGGAGGACGTATTCCAGTCCCGTCACCACCACCCAGAATTTCCTTGCTGTCCCCAGGCAGCACCTTAATGGACGCTTCCCACCCCACTCCCTCCTGAATGTTGTGCAATTGTGTATTCAATAAAAGGAAGTAAACTGAGTCAAAGGACTTATTAAAAATGTATTTCGGTGGAACAACGAATTTTCAAATAGAACTCTCAAGAATTCGCGAAGTTTTTCCTCGGTGCTGCATACCAAATTAATATGCTGTAGAAAGTGAGAACCTCCGATGCGTTACGCCACCGTCAAGTGTTTTCTCTCATCCAACGACCCAAATAAGCGTCCGTAAAGCAATCGGATCAAAGGACAAGACAATTTATAGGTAGTTCTAATACCATGCCGGAGGGGGCCTACGGAAGCCTCAACTTAGTCAGGACTGGATGTCTGGGTTTGTGACTGGTTACCCCTCCCTTTCACCTCTGGAAATGCTTCCACACGACCTAGCATCCCTAACAGTCCTTGCTGAGGAAGCCCTACTCACTGCCTTCTCGTGGAGGTGTTTTCCCACCGAAGTGAGAGGATCAAAAGCCGACATCTGGAGCCATAACCGGGTTCGTGAACCACTAGTGAGGTTGACTAAAAGCCCAGATTCAAAACCAACCAAGAAAGAGCGTACGAAC